CAGGTTAGCGTAGTCGGTATAGCGACTGACTACAGGCTGGACGACCGAGGCATCGGAGTTCGAGTGCCGGTTATGGCAAGAATTTTCTCTCCTTCAAGTCGTCAAGACTGGATTTCGGGCCCACCCAGCCTCCTATCCAATGGGTACAGGGGGCTCATTTCCCGGGGGTAAAGCGGCCGGGTCGTGAAGCTGACCACTCACCTCCAACCAGCCCCGAGGTCAAGAAAATGTGGATCCATACTTCCACTCCCCATACGCCTTCATGGCGTAGTGCTTAATCAGTTAAGCACAGGGACAACTTTACCTCTTCACATGTACACGAATACAGATATTAATTTCCAACCACGGGACTTTTCAGAATGAATGTAATATTACAGGGAAGATAATGAAATTATTTTTAACTTAGTAATATTACCAATTAGTCCGAATTCATACAGTCTCGATACTGACATATCACTCATGGAGCTGAGCCCTTCTTGAGAAGCCGCCAATTGTGCACCTACTCAAGAATTTCCCGTAATTTCAAGGAACCCGAAGGTTCATTAGCATGTTCACAAGAGCCCTCCACTGGTCCCTATCCTGAGCCAGATCAATGCAATCCATACCGTCCCATCCTATCTCACTAAGATCTATTTCAATAATGTCCACCCACCTACGCCTTGGTCTTCCCAGTGGTCCCTTTCCTTCTGGCTTTCCCACTAGTATCCTATATGCATTCCTCTTCCCCCATTCCTGCTACATGCCCTGCCCATCTCATCCTCTTTGGCATGATAACTCTAATTATACTTGGAGAAGAGTACAAGTTATGAAGCTCCTCATTATGCAGTTTTCTCCAACCTCCTGTCACTTCTCTCTTCGGTCCAAATATTCTCCTCAGCACCCTGTTCTCAAACACCCTCAGTCTACGCTCCTCCCTTAATGTCGGAGACCAAGTTTAACACCCATACAGAACCATAGGCAAAATTAAAGTTTTGTGTATTCTAATTTTTTATGTTTTTGTACAGCAGACGAGAAGACAAAAGGTTCTGGACTCAATGGTAACAAGCATTACCTGAATTCAAGCTCTTCTTAATTTCCTCCTGAATCAGATCTCGATACTGACAGCGATGTTAAGTAATTAATATAAAAGCCAACAAGAAATGCAAATTGTTCATATCCTCGGCGGTTCAGTTATGAAGGATTTCGTGAGATTTGAGGTTCCCAGGCGGTGGCTATGAAGATAAAGATCTTTTGAGATGTGTAGGATGATAGAAGTTTATTAACGTTTCGGAGGATCCTGGTACCTCCATATCCACTTCTAAATCCTGAATTTGAAGGCAGTGCGTTCCTCCGAAACGAATTTTCCTAGGAGATAAATCTTTATTCATGTTTCTGTAACCATAGTAGGGTGTACGTTTAGTGCGTTTGTTGATAATCTCTTACATAATCCCTTCTATTGCAGAGTCGCACGCATCCTCAAACGTGCCTTAGTGATAGAACAACATGTATTGAATGCGTGGTTTCAGTTCCTCTGCTTGTGGCGGGAAGCAAACAATGCGGTCCGATTGGACGTGCGTATGAATGAATAGCACTTGTTAGTTATTGTTAAAAGTCACCCCCTGCAGACCGCCAAAAAGGCGCTAGTTAGGGGTGAGATTATTGAATTAGGGCGTCTCATGTATCAGAGGGAGGCAGTGTTTATGTGGCGAAGTGACACAAGTACCACCAGTGTGCTGTGTAGCACTCCAGGGGCGGCCGACAGTGACTGACAGCGACTTGGCTGCTACGGCTGAAGGAAGAACGGAAGAAGGAGAAGAAGAAATAAAGACATTGATAAAGTTGCCCCTGTGCTTAACTAGTTCTTTCTTGACCTCGGCAGTGGTTGGAAGTGAGTGGTCAGCTTCAAGTCCCGGCCGCTTTACACCCGAGGAAAGAGCCCCCGGTACCCATTCAATAGGAGGCTGGGTGGGACCCAGGGCCTGTCTGGACGACGTGGAGAAAAGAAAATTCTTGACACCACCGGGACTCGAACTCCGACCCCTCAGTCGTCCAGCCCGTAGCCAGTCGCTATACCAACTACGCTGCCCGGCTCAAGATAGAGACAGATAAGAATATAAAACAGAGGAGAAGGAAAATAAAGATATATACAGGAAGGAGAAAAGAATATCTATCTATCTATCTATCTATCTATCTATCTATCTATCTATCTATCTATCTATCTATCTATCTATGGCTCTACGGCCCCCTGTTGGGCCTTGGCCGCTTTTTTAGTTTCTTGATCTTTACACAGTCGGTAGGACTCCTTGGACGGGGGATCAGCCCGTCGCAAGGCCGCTACCTACACACAGGACAGCATAAACACAGAATAAACACACACCGACATCCATGCTACAAGTGAGATTCGAGCGCACTATCCCAGCGTTTAAGCGGGCGAAGACAGTCAAGGCCTTAGACCGCGCGGCCACCTTACGATCTATATTCATATACAATTTTATGTGGTACATTTGCAAAGTTTCATTAGTTATCAGGAACCAGTGGAAAACTAAGGATATATTACGCACATTCACCAAATAACTTCCTATTCTATAATATTTATTTCAATTGTAGTTCCATATTTACCGGTAACGAAAATTTTAGAACTGACGTCGCGGTGGAATGATCAGCATTACTTCGTATTCGGGAGGTCTTGGGTTCGAATGTCACTTGCAGACTGGCTGGGTTATCGTGGTTCAGCTGTCCCACTATGCGGTTATGAAATATTACCCAAACCTGTCAATTCCAGCTCTGATTTCTAAGTGCATAGAACCAACCAAGCAAAAGATTTTATATACCAATAGTAAGAAAATATGGCCGCCACCAGACTTTTAAATTTTAAACATTTAATTAATTTTGCTGATATTTTCAATCATTGAAAAAATTAACTTATCTTAATTACATTTTCCCCTTTGGCGCTACAGCCCCAATTTGGACCTTGGCCTACCTCCATGGAACTCTTCGTTTCACTTCCGTGTGCTAGATCTTAGACATTCAGTAGGATCCCTTGGACGGGTGATCAGCTCGTCGCAAGGCCTCTATCTGTACACAAACACAGAAAAACGCACACACACACACACACACACAAACACCAAATATCCATGCCCTGACTGCGATTCTAACCTACGACCCCAGCTTCCGAACGAGCGAGGACAACGCATGACTTAGACCGCTCGGCTATTGTGACAGGCATTTTAATTACATTAGTATTTTACTTTTCCTGATTTGTAATTTTAGAAATTCATGTAAAACAACGTGTGTTTATCATACATGTAAAATGTTCCCTTTGTCGTGTTGGCTTTGACTTCTGATAATGGACAGTGGTGGGCAAAACATGAAAAGGTTTATTAAATATTTAACTGTCGCACTTGATGGACCTTGATACTTACCAATTCCTTCGAAAATGTCCAAGTCAGAGCACAGTAAAATGCATGGGCAAATAATACGAATACACATAATACTCCTTGTGAACTTCAAGTGTAGAGAGATTCCCTCCAAATATTTCTTGACTATGAAGTTGAGATAAAGTAGCAACACGTCACATTCTGCCATGGTAAATGTCGAAATTTTCAACACTTGGTGTGTGTATATATATATAGGGGCCGCGCCATAGCTCAAGCGGTTAGTCGCTGGCTTGCCACCGCGTCGGCCCGGGTTCAATTCCGGGTATGGTCAAGTTTGATTTGTGGTGGACAAAGTGGCGCTGGGGCAGGTTTTCTCCGAGTCCTTCGGTTTCCCCTGCCAATCTTCTTTCCACCAATTGTTCCACAGTCACCCTCACCTATCATCTGGGGCGGGTACAATAGGCCAGAAGTGGCCGCAGTACAAGGGACTTAGTCCCACCACACTAGCAATAAAAGATCGCTCCCATCCACTTCCTAACCAGTTCATCTGTGATCCTAATGTTTGATTGTGCATAAATGTATGTACTTGACACAGATACACAAATGAAAAATTCGTCGGGCACAACATTTTAGAACCCTTCTGCGACTGATTCGTTCCCTTCTAAGAAGCTTTCACGGCCGCCTTCGGTATTATCGATGTTAACTAACATAGAGCTGAACCATTCTTAAGAAGCTACTCAAGAACTTCCCAGCATTTTATGGAACCCCAAGGTTCATTACCGTGTACACAAGAGCCCTCCACTGGTCCCTACCGTGAGCCAAACGAATTCAGTCCATACTACCTCATCCTATGTCTCTTAGATCCATTTTAATATTATCTACCACTTACGTCTTGGTCTTTCTAGCTGTCTCTTTCCTTCTGCTTTGCCACCAATATCCAATATGCATTCCTCTTCTCCCAAATTCGTGCTACATACCCTGCCCATCTCATCCTCCTTGACTTGATCTCATTATTCTTGGTGAAGATTGTAAATTTATTAAGTTCCTCATTGTTTAATTTTCTCCAAGCTCCCGTCATTTCATCTCTTCGGCCCAAATATTCTCCTCAGCACCCTGTTCTCAAACACCCTCAGTCTGTGTTCCTCCCTTAATGTCAGAGACCAAGTTTGATTTTTGATGGTAGGAAATTAAGTAGGGCAACGGGTAGATGGGTTGGGTGACCTCTGGTGACAAGATGACTCATAGGGTTATGGCGGCGGTATTCTTCCCCGCCTCCACACGGGATTCAGGTAATCTATAGAATTTGACCGTACCATAGCTCAGGTGGCTGACTTCCCACCGCGGTGGTCCGTGTTTCAGCCCAGGTCAGTTCATGTGGGATTCGTGGTGGACGAAGTGGTACTGGGGCAGGTTTTCTCCGAGTACTTCTTTTTCCTCTGACAATTCTCATTCCACCGACTTCTCTACATTCATCATCATCTACCATCCGGGGCTGGTACAGTATGCCAATTAGTGGCCGACGTACCAAGTGGACTCAGTCTCACCCCACCCCAAGAAAGAAAAGACAATAGAAGAACCTAACCAATAGAACTACGTGCATGCAGATCCTTGAATGTTTCTGGGGAGGACGGGTGCAACACTCACCTGTCTTCACCTGATACTTGAGAGTGAGGCAGCAGTAGTCTATAAGTTGCTGCAGGGTAGCAGGTCTGTCTGGCAGGTCCAGGTCCAGCAGGCGCCTCATGTCGGCCGGATGATGGAAATCCAGCACCTTGCAGTTCCTGTCATTGGTCTGACGCACGAACTCCAGAAGTACATCGATCAGCTTCAGAAGGAACTCTCGGGTGACGGGCACGCCCTGTTGAGTGTTGTACGGCAGCAAGTCTGCAACGTTACGTCCAAGCGCAGGCCATTATTTTCGGCAGATCAGACGTTTAAGACCAGTGCTGGATTTATGTACAGTAGAAGTTAAATAATCTACAGGGTCCTCTTAATACTGAGAAGAAGAATCGTCCAAGAGACAAACGTAATGTTCTTTCATACCCCCCTTCCCAAAGTGTCTCCACCTTGTCATGGTGGTGGGGCTTGCGTGACTGTGACCTGGAGAGTTTTGTCGGCGGTAGTTTAACTACTGGTAGGGTCACCCATGCCTGAAAGGTCAAAGGGTAAAGTCCAGACTAAGAGTGATACCCTGATCCTCCAGGTAGAGGGTTGGGCATGAGGCTAACAACCTCATCCTGTAAAAGAATGTTGTTCAGAAATCTAACAACCAGCCTCGGGTCGTCATGCGTGGATCCGTTCCTATGGCAGCACGCACTGGTTGTGCAGACTGGGTGTAGAGGAGGCCAAGGCTCAGCCGGGGCTGTAGCGCCGAGTGGTAGGTAGGTAGGTAGGTAGGATATCTCACACAACCTAGAAGAAAACAAGTAGCTGATTGAACCTCGTCAGATGGAAACAGCTTACACAGGAACATCAGCGTCTATCGAAAACTAATCGTGAAGCTGCATCCTTCCTTTTTGATGCAGCTGTGTCACTGTTCCCAGGAAAAATATGGATTTTACATATTTGTGCAGTTCCTCGCACACTAATATACATATCCTTAACGACACAGATAACTAATTCCAGGGAGCTGAGTCCTTGAGAAGCCGTCAGTCTCTCAGCTACTCAAGAGACAGGTCCCTATCCTGAGCCAAAGGCCGTGCCATAGCTCAAGCGATTAGTCTCTGGCTTCCCACCGCGGCGGCCCGGGTTCGATCCCGGGTCTGGTCAAGTGGGATTTGTGGTGGACAAAGTGGCGCTGGGCAGGTTTTCTCCGAATACTTCGGTTTCCCCTTCCAATCTTCATTCCACCAAATTCTTCATCATCATAATCACCCGGCGCAGGCTACAATAGGCCGATCAGTGGCCGCCGTGCCGAGTGGACTCAGTTGGACTCCAGCCCCCACTAAGTGAATTTAAACAAAAAAAAATAATCCTGAACCAAACGAATTCAATCCATACTGACCCATCAAAAGTCGAAGTTAAATTCGAAATTACTTTGTGAGTAGCGGTTTACAGCCAATCAATTCGTCTTGGCACCAACCTCTTCAGACTCACGACCAGAGATATTTTGCAACTGAGCCCTTGCGGTAATAGTCCTTATGTAACATCCTCTCTGACGAGAAGGTGTTTTTGTCTCTTATGAATATGCCTGGCCTTTCGTCAAGTGTTCATTTCGCACATACAGCACGTCAATGGAATATCTTCTTTTGCACTATATGCAAGTCTTCTGTCACTACAGACTTTGCAAAGCAGATCATGCATATCTTACGTATCCAACCCCAACCTATTTATCTAAGATCCGTTTTAAGACTGTGCTAATGGCTGGAAGCCAGAATAGCGGAACCGGATACGCATACAATAGAAGAACTGTGAGAGACGGTGTTTCCTGTGCGGTCAATGTCCAGGCTGTATAGCTGGACCATCGGGAAAATTTAACCGTTCGCGACTAGTTGTCCTCATGAGTTAGTTGTGAGGTGGTCACCAGTCGGCAACGACGGAAGCACGAGAGCCGAAGTATCTCCGCTGTTTGGGAACCATAACTTAGTGAAACCCAGTAAAGGCCTTTACCAGGTAACGACTGGTGCAGACAGAAAGCTAGATGTGCTGCAGTACAGTGATTTATAGATCCGTGAATCTGTTATATTTACTTGTAGTTACGGGTTATAAACCTTCAATAAATCCAATTATTAATCCAAAACCCGTGTCTAGACACTTACACGTGACAATATTATCCACCCACCTACTTCTCGGTCTTCCTGCTAGTCGTCTTCTTCCTTCTAGCTTTCCCACCAAAACCTTCCATGCATTCCTCTTCTCCCTGGTGCGTGCTACTTGCTACTCAGTCACATACACGTATGCATGGTTTAACGATAATTTAATCAAAATAATTTTCATTAAAATACATTATTTCTATGAAATTATATTTTGTTGTATTTCAATAAATTATTTCCTCTCATAGAAATATCTGCCCTTGTAATTTTTCATACAAAAGTTTTTGAAGTTTATATTCTTTCACAAAAATGTTTTAAATTCTAGGGCTCTTATCTTTATCATAGCCCAAGTGCTCATGAATTATTAGACCGACTTTGACTCAGACATCTGACCTTACATAATAGCACTGGCCTTTCTGAAAGATTAAAGAAAATGTTTTTAATACACAATGTAAATAGTCAGAGGCCTCATAAAGTAGCAAACAAAGGAAAAGGAACTCCGTGGCTTTAGTCTGCAAGCGAACTATACCGACCGAGCGAAAGCCACTTGTCGGCGAAGTTAGTCATGTGGTCAGCACATCGAATCCTCACGGCCGTTAATTTCGACTTTCTAGACCGGAGCCGCTATTTCTTTGAAATATCGCTTCAGTTATCGTCACGAGGCTGAGTGGACTCCGTTTCAAAACCACTACTTCTCAGAATATCTGGTAACGCCAGGAATCGAAACCGGACCTCTGGAATTTTAGCCAAGAACTGTGACCATTAGACCACAGAGGCGGCCTAAAAATGTAAATAATATAAAATATCAATATATTAGTTATTCCTGAGCTGGGATAGCTCAGTTGGTGTAGCAACTAGCCTGCGACGACAGAGGAATCTGGATTCAGTTCCAGGAAAGAGAAATGGACCTTATATTCACCATAGTTTCAAGACCGGCTCTGGGGCCCACCGAGCTTCCTAACCAATAGGAATGCAGTGCTGTCCCCTCAATGTAAAATGGCCTTTGAGGGCGGCTGACAACTTACCCCCATTAGTGTGTGTAACTAAACTTCCATTGTCCTACAAGTCTTCATCAGGTGGGATTTAAATGGGCACCTTTTATTTTCGTAGTTATTGTTACATTTGGCTCAATTTTTTCCAAATATGAGTTATTTATTTAATTAATTTATATCTAAATTATGTAGATTATCGTGAATAAGTTAGAAAAATGTCTGAATTGAGACGTTCAGGGAATAGGGCTCAAGCTGCCCACAGAGTACTCGGTTGAGTGATGGGGATGAAATGCATCAGTCTCCTGGGATGCTGGTCTATACTGTCGGTCTCATGAGAGGTCCTGTGAAGCTGAGATAAGACATACTGCCATTTTACAGCAAGAAACAAGATGGGTGAAATGCGTGAAGCCTGCCAAAATCAATCTCATTGAATACTATCCCATACATATCTGCGTCCCTCAGCTGATATGAGTGTTGAATTACATTGCAAGGGAGATATGTCATGAACAAGAGTGACGCATCATAAACATAATGAAGCTAATGGAGTAGTGCAGTGACAAATGTTTAAAAATAAAGAAAATAATCCTCTCAAAATAAATTGCTATAATAATCGTATTTGGAAAGATGTTGCGTGGTGACATTCGCTGAACTTCAAAATGCATGCGAAGCAGGATTGAAAGAAGACCCGAAGATTGCTATGAGTCGTTTGAACTGAGATTCACTTTAGGGTCATTCCGTGTGAAGTCAACCAGATAGTTCGCTCGACCATTTAAAAAAAATGTATTTTGTATACTGATTTCTACATATTTGCATACTTCAAAAATATTTTTGGAAAAAATTTAGTCCGCTCAGTTCTCCCGGTACAGCCGTTTTATAATGCGATAGAACGCATTTTCGGCTGAAATGGAGGTTTGCCTTATCGTCCATGTCTCGATAACTATTGAAGCTACAGACTCGAATAAAACACCAATTTGTTCCAGATGATATGGACTACAATTCATGTCATTACAAGCTTTTACTCTACTCGCTTCCTCTAGGTCTAATTAAGCTTGACACTTACCTATCGATTTGGGGAAAAATGCTATTTTTGACCTTCAAAAACCAATGGGAAGGGGAAAATATCAGATCTTTGGTTTCTACCCTTTGTTTTTTTCTATATGGGGAAATAGTTACGTAATTTTGAACACCGTATCTGTTTTCCAAAATTTTCCAGGAGCTTCCAAACTTTGCTCTGGGCCCAAAATCGCCCATTTTTAACATCTCATATCTCCGGTGGGGAAGCTCCGAAAATTTTGAAATTCATATCGAACAATTTCCTATTCTAGAGTAACTTGGAATTAAAATTAAAGCTTTGATATTCTACCAATAGCAAAGTTGTTGGCACTTTGAATTTTACCAAAAAAATCAACACCTCAACAATTGGCTTACCTTCATCCAGTGGTATTTAGTGGTTCTTTATTCTGTATGAAAGGCGAGAGATTTAGCTTGTGTCATTCCGAACAGTAAGTACAGGCCTCTTATTTCGCTCCTCCTGTGTTCTGACATCTGAACCCAAACTTTTGTAATCATGATGACAGTGTTGAGCTGCTTTCTCGGCAGCTGTATGTATGTATGTATGTATGTATGTCGTCTCGCACTCTAAGTCAGTGTACGTTCAGCAACTGCAGATCGTTCAGGCGTATCGAGCCTGGTATTCTCCAAGTCGGAAGTAAAAAATTGTTTGAAATGGAATGTTCTATAGGCATTGTCATAAGACTACGTATGGTGCCGTCAACAAACAGTTAACGCTTTTGAATGAATTGGGTGAAGAGAAACAAACTGTTTTGAAGTTAAGATTGGGTGAATGCGATTTAAGTTCCATATACAAGTATCATAAAATTAAATATTTTGTTAAATAGAGTTACTTGTTTGGAAATATTTGTTGTGACCCGCTAAAAGTGCACAAACGAACCATTAAGAAAGGTTTATGTCAAATTTCATTAGAACTACTGAAGAAAGAAAAGAATTTTCCGGTAGCTCTAGTACCAGGTAAATCATTGTGTCATAATTGTTACACGGAGATTTTTGTTCTTAAAGAAACCGTAAGAGGGGGCAGTATTGGTTCTGGAAGGGACGAGTTTGCACCAATGCAAGAAAATCT